GCACACGTGCAGTCTCGCTGGCGGTGGCTCATCAGCAGCTGAAGCCGAAACACTGCGATCAAAACCTGTTTTCGGTGTATCGTTTTAAACCACGAAACGTTTCCTATGGTCTAAGAGTCTAAACACATGCTAAACGCCGGTTGAGAGTCCGTGCCGTTTGCCCCTGGATCACCGACTCCTTCAGCGCGCTTCCGAAGGCATCCCACTTCACCCGGCGCCGCACCAAGCGCTTGGCGCGCATGCGGGTCAAGGTCCAAAGCTGCTTGACGAAAGAACCTGGATGGGAGTTGATGCATCGCTTTCCTGGGAGGTCTGAGGGGGGTTGAACTAGAACTATCAATGATTAGACCCGGAGGAGCGCACACAAACAAATTCAAGGATTCCCCTGGGTTGGCTACCTTGTGTGATTTGGCAAGTTGTGTCCTGTTCTGTAAACCAGGAAAGTCCTAGCAACACATCCGGGGACCAGCAAACCCCCATGGCACAAACCGCCACCGGTAGCCCGGCAAAGTGTTTGGCAACGACTTTCCTGTTTGGGAGTAAGTTGGCAAGTGGGACACCAATAGCCCTGAGCTTAAGCGTGCCCTGCATGGTCTGCGGTAGTCCCATGGCGATCGGAGTCTGAGATTGGGGACTGTTTGAGAGGCTCCCGGAACTCTTGATGTGAACAAATGCAAGCAGGAATTGTTAAGACAAAAGTAAGCAAGCATGTCTCAAATTGCAAGCAAGAAAACGGCGTGCCACCGTTTTCTTGCAGGGAGTTAGTTTTGTTAGTTTGCCACTGATCAAATGAAGGCAACATTGGTCTATGGGAAGGCCTTTCAAGACCAAATCCCGGAATGTGTTCAAGACAACGAGAGGTGTCATAAAGCAAACTTGGTCGGATTGGCCAATGGGAAGGCTTTTGTGCGTGCTGGAATTCAAAAAAATCAAGTGAAGTACCCTCGCTTACTTTGCTCCTCACTGCGCCTCCTTCCTTCTCTGAATGGTAGCCACAAGTGGCCCCCTAAATTTAGATCTTTAGCTATTCTGTAGTATGTTAAAACAATAAGTAAATGAACATAGGAATGGTCTCTTTCCCTCTCTCGTTCTCTCTTTCCTTCTGCATTATTTTCTATATCTCTCTCCCTCCCTCCCTCCCTCCCTCCCTCCCTCTCCTTTTCACTCTCCTTTCTCGCAAGGCACTGTTTTTCCTTTTATCTTTAGCAATCCTTTTCTCTTACTGTACCCAATTCGGCTCTATTGAGAGTCAAAGAGACCCAATGATGGCCTCCTTGTCTTTTCAACCTGACCTTTTCACTCTTGTTTTGTTTCGTTTGTCTCTCCTATTCGTTTTCAATCCTTTCCTATTGTATTACATCTTTATCATTGTTTATCTATTTATATGATCGTTTTGATCCATCTCTCTCCCTCTCTCTCTCACTTGACTCAATCTGTGCGTTCTTCTCCTTCCCTATATCATATCTATATCCTCCTCTCTCCACTTCTATGTTTGTTCTTCCCTGTTTTCTCTCTCTCTCTCTCTCGTTCTCTTATCCACCCCACTTTCTCCATATGGGCCTTGTTGGGCCGACCATCTCTCCTCTCTCTCTGTCTCTCTCTATCTCTCCATTTTGTGCCCACTCAGCGGTCTTGCAGTTTCCACTTGCAGTTGCCTTGCAAGCTTCAGAACATGTTAGAACAAAACTGATGATCTTTTTCTCAGATATACATCTACAATGGGTAACACAATAGTATACACACTTTATATATCGACTGTGGCCACCATTGGGAGTCTTATAGTTTGACATAACTTTAGCCAAACTATCTTGTGGCCTGGCTCGAATGTTGTGCATTCTCAGGAGCCACCTGACGTATCCCCATGACATCCGTTGTCACATGGCGTTCTGGTTCCCCACCCTTAAAAAACCCGAAGAAACCGCGTCGTTTCCGTGCGCATCGGTCGGGCCGTCGGAGGAAGCTACTAGGAACAAGTGCATCGCTTCTAGTAACAAGTGCCTTACTACTAGGAACAAGAAGCTATTAGAAACATGTGCCTTACTAGTAGTAACAAAAAGCTACTAGTACTAGTAGTCTCATAGGCCCGTGCCTTACTACTAGTAACAATAAGAATTTAATTAGAATTGTAATTGCTAGCAAATGGCCCAAGAAGGCGTCGATCCAAAGCCGCTTGAAGTTGATCGCCCGGTTCCGCCCCACCGCCGAGCCAATCCTCGGGTCGAGGATTGGCTCGAGGGCGCGAGGGTGCAGAGACAAAGGAACGGAACAGCGGAGCAAGAGGACAGGTCAACACTAATTCAAACTGCTGATGGTGCGACCGAAACCAGCAAACCATGTCCAAGTCGCAGGTGTGTCTCACAACATGGAGCAAGTCGAACAATCGAGGCAATTGATAACATTGGTGTGTTTTTCCTCGCACTCCTTTTTCCGCAGCAGGGTCAGGGCAGCGAGCGCAAGGGGAGGAGGCTGGACCCAGGAGGGTCCGCCAAGGCCAGGACATTCTGAAGTTCTAAAGGCAAAACCAAAGGGGTAAAACAATGGTCTTCACACTGCCCTGCAATCCTCCCCAAATCCTCTGCACCAAGTGACTGAAATCCAGCAGCCAGGGCTGGGCGCACAGATGGGAGCACACGTGGTAGTGTACGAGCACAAAGCTCACCTAGCTAGGGATCGGTCTTTTCAGCGTTTTTACCAGCAAAGCAACAAAAACATAGCAAGCCTGGCAGGGAATGAAGCCGGTGAAACCATGTTTTGGGACATGCGTGAGGAAATCTTTATGTTTGTTCATGAAAATGCATGAAATGATACATCCCAGATCATCCCAAACACTCCATATTTACCTACATTGGGGTGGTGCCAGGGGGGTCAACTGATCGGCATATATGGCAGTCCCATGGAGTGTCTGGGCATCATCCTACTGACTCTAAACCGATTGATCCCCAAAGACCCTGCCATCCCTTAAGAATCCCATCCTGCTAGGTCCTGACCTTCCACCACGCCCCACCAGGGTCAAGCCTCGAACACAAAAACATGTTTAAACCATCCGAGAATACTGCCAGGCGGCTCTCGAAAACCATGGAAGCCCCGATCTGCCAGCGTGCCAAAAGACTGCCGTCCTCCGCATCACGGACCAGCAGCACCTCGGACCGTGCACACGCGGCTCAGGGGCATGTTTGCGTGGTGCACATATGTCACGCAGGGGTGGCCCAAAATGATGGAACACAATGGATTGCTGTGTGAAACTACTACAAGCTCAAACGTCACCGCAGCCTCTCGTCTCGTATACCCTGCAGTTCCACCTTCCACCACTCTTCGCCTCGTCTGTGAGTGCCTCGAAGGCCCTCAGCTGCGAACTTGTGAACTTTGCGGCTGTGACGTGTCACACCAAGCAGCCTTCTTCACCAATCAAAGACCTGCGTATGCCCTGTGGCGCTGCTTTAGCCAAAAATCATCAAACATGGATAAGTCCAGTCCGCCCGCGCAGGTGGCACTGGCTTCATCTGGCTTCAGCTTCACGTCCGGCCACCAGAACTGGTGGCCGGACGTAGTCAAGTTCGGCCCTTCTGCAGGGGGCCCTTCTGAGATATACTCTATCTCTAAATGGTCCAAGGAGTTGTATAGATGGTCAACTTAAGACCAGCCCTGCCACCATCTTGCAACCCTAATAGGGAGATGGTCGCGAGATGGTGGGCGGTTTGGGCAACAACCTGTTGCCCCAAACACCTTGATCTTCTCTGCCACCTTCAAAGTGACCTTTTGAGATCCCAGAATGAGGTCACTTAGTCCCTTCTAGAGGTCACTTACAGACTCCAAAGAGGTCCTGGTGGATGATACTCGTGATAACTCCTGGTGATCCCGACCCTCGGGCCACACAGCCGAGACCCGGCCGCGTCACCGGCCCCGTCACCGCGGCCTTTCTCGCTGTCGCTCGTCTCGCGCCCAGCGCGCCCAGCTCGGGTCAGCTGTCAGCTTGGAAGCTTGGAAGCTCTGCATGCTGTTGGACATGCTTTCAATGTCACTGTTTCCCGGACGTGTGCTGGTTCTTCATGTTCCAGATTTGCGGGTGACGAGCCAAGCCTGAAGTCGTTGCAACACGGCCAAACCTCCTGGGCCTGACTGATGCAGCCACCATCACAGGGACATTTCAATCTGTTCATCTCTTGAAGTGTCCGGGCCATGGCGTTGAACGAGTCGCGCAACTTCTGGAAACAGTTGCAACGAGTCCAGGTTGATCGGCCTTGCAAGGTGCTACTCACATCTTGAGCGTGTCCGCTGTGGAGGCAGACTGGGCTTCAGCCCCCGCTCCCTGTGAAAAGACCCGTGGTTTCAGAGTAGATGGCACAATCCCTAAGTTATATAGGTGGTTTAGACGGAACCCATATGCCATATGCAACAAAAGGAACATCTTTGGGTTTGTGCCATCTATATACTCTGAAACCACTGTATTTACTTATCTGGCACAGCTGTCAATCCCTGTTCCGCTACTGTAATCTAGATACTTGACCTGTGACCATCTAGCCTGTCTACGTCGGCACTTGTGGCGCTGTGCTCCAAGTGCCAAACTACTGGTTCCAGTTTCACACGCTGTGACATGTTCCAAAAACTGAATTCACGCCAACAAATTCCCTCCAACCCCACCAGCTCCCAGTCTAGACTGGGACCGCCGGGGCACTGGGAAACGTTGGGCCCGTGTCGGGTTGCGAAAGATCCAAAGCATGTCCTTCGCGAAGAGATTTCCTGGGAACCACAGCGCTGGTTAGCCTTGTGAATTACAACTGGTAGGTTGCCATTCTTTAAGGTGGTGCAGCACCAATCTGGTGAATCGGTATGAACTCTGTTGTATGAGTTCGAACAATGCATCACCTACTCAAGTTCTCAAGGACGGGACGTGCCAGTAGTGCCCTTCGTGGGAATGTATATTCTAGGATTTTTTCATTTGGGTGCGGCTGGGGGAGGCCTGGTGATGTAAATGGAAAACATGTGCCACTTGAATCCGAAATCTTCTACAGTACACGCAAAAGATCTCTCCAATTCATATGCTATGGTGAATTGTCCTTGTAAGTTGGTTTCCTTTCGAAGTGGTCAAACTGGAGACCCCACGCCGTGCAAAAGCTTAAAAATGCTCCAGCCTGGTGCTTCTTGGGTGTTCCTGGATGCGTTATTCTGTAACTCAACTGCCCAAGGGGGCAGTAACTTGGCTGAGTCCAGAACAAATCCCGTAAGCAGCTGCAAGTGTCCGTAGATATCGCCAAAGATCTCTCCAATGGCTTGGCCATATCCTGAGGGTCCAACATGGGAAAGCCCAGGTGCTTAGCTTTGTTTGTTTACTTTGTTATCATGTTTTTATCAATACTCTTCAACTATGTTTACCTCATAATGGGTGGAGTCTGAGCCATCACCGGGTTTCGTGTCAAACTAACTTCCCACAAAAAATATTGCAGGCCCACCAAGGACGCAAAAGGACTAAGAGGTTCTGCTAAAATACCGAGAACATCCAAGAACTGACGTCACTTTGAACCCACAGCGCACCTTTCCAAACCACATCAAACCACAACATGTTCTTGGAATGGTTTGGCTAACAAAGCAATGGCGAGTCAAGTCGGTTCCTTCTTCCACCTGGTGATGTTGTATCAACAAAAGCCCCGTGCGAAAAGGACAAACAATAAACGCATTGCACAACCATAGCACCCTTCCCACAGTGACCAAAGTCGTCGACAGTGCATTTGGCATGAGCCATGAAGTGCTGTAATCATTTTTGAAACCAAAGCGGTTTCATGAGACTGTGTCTTTACCACCACACGCAGTGCTGCAAGCTGCAAGCTGTAGTGCTTGCTGCGCAGCGCGTGCAGTGTTTCAATGGAAGCACTGCAGGGCACAGCTCACAGGGGCCCACAGCCCTGGTTTTCCCCTCCAAACCGCTCCGCCACCCAAGGCGCTCTCAGTCGCCTTGTTGCTCAGCTTCTCCCACCTCAGAAAATCCCAAAGCTCGGTCGATTCGGCCCGATCCACTCGCTGTCCACTCGTACATCTGTTTGGGATGGATGGTCACCTGATGGTTGTAATCTGCAAAATTATTTTGCGGTTTTGTGGGTGTATAACCTGAGTTTTACATCGCTTTACCAAAAAAAGGCAACACCACAAGACCAAAGTCGATCTGCTAGCAGTACAAACCATACGAACGCGGAAATCGAATGGTTTTCTATGTTGCAAGTCTTTGCTTCCTCCATCAGGTAGCTAATTGGACCATGGCGCCACACTACTCTCTTTGATGTCAACTTTTCAGGATTCCACTGCAGTCAAAACGACGACACTAACACTCTAACGGTCTCAAAAATTGCCACAACTCTCACCCTCAACTCTCACAGTCCCGAGCTCGCTCCCAAAGGCAACGCCCAAGCAGCTGCTGCAGCAGCGTCTGCCGGGCGTTGTTGGACATTCGCACCGCCACGGAAGCGCTCACCGCGTCCTGCGTGAGCTCGAAGGCGGAGCCTGCAGCCTTCTGGAGATCCTGGGCGTGGTGGGTGGTGCCCGGGGGCTTCAGTAGTGGGGAGCCCAGATCTGGTAGGTGGGGAGGTCATGGGACCAGGCTGGGGACTGAGGCTCTTTCCAAGGATGGCGATCCTTGACAGGGGTCGTAGGGAACCTACAGAAGGCCCCAATAACGGAACGCCTTGCTTACTCCAAAAAAGAACTGGCTGGCTCCAACGTTCCCAATTGAGCCGGAACACTGAACACTGAATAGATCCACAATAAGTGAAACAAATCACCACGAGCACCCTCGCGACAATCCTGGAAGTGGAGCGTAGGCTGGAGGACTATATTCTCTAAGTGAATCAGGACCTCAGACCTCAGATGACCTCAGCATTCTCAGCATTCCAGTTTCCATCACCTGACAGATGCAATGCACTGATCTTCATTGCGCTTCATTGCGCTGCATCACTGATCTTCTCTACGCGTCGATGACAGGCCGCTCGCACCGGAGCTCTCCGGCGGCACGGCACCGGACTCGCACTGCACCCGTCGCGGACTTCGCCAAGCAACGCTGACCGTATGGCTGATGGAACCGAGAAGGCCCTGCCTGAGTTGACAAGGTGAACGTCAAGACCTCCCTAGGGATCCAGTAACAAGGGTATCGCTACTAGTAGCTATCGAAGCTACTAGTAGCTCCTGGCATTACTACTATAGTAGTTACTATAGTAACAAATAGCTACTAGTAACTAAGGGCCTGCCACCTTCTGTAGTTGAGCCCTCCTGGTGCCTACATGCTCTCCAATGGCCTACATCACTGGATTCGCTATGGTCGGGCCTTTTTGTGGCCCACTTGCGATGAAGCATGAATCCAGTGGCCCCAGAAGTCCCCACCCACACCCAGACGCAAACGACCACGGTGACTGGTCTAAGCTAAAGAGAGTTAGTAGCAATTTGCCGAGGTGTCTGCGGTGTGCTTCGGGTACAAAGACAACCACCCTGACAACACTCAAAAGGACCAGAATCGTTCTTCCCTACCAAAAACAACCAACCTGACAACACTTCAAAGCACCAGATTGAGTTACCCCACTTCAAGCACAGTCGTGGACTGGTGAATCTGATGCACCGATTCCGCCGCTGAGGCCACCGGCTGGGTCTCAGTCTCATCGCTCTTCACCACGTCGAGCTTCTCCTGCCGCAGCCACTGGCGTTCCGAAGCAGTTCTCCCACGGACGCCGTCCCCGGAGCGATTTCATTCAAACATGGCCCTATGTCTAGCGATGTCAGGAATATAGAAGGGAAAATAACAAATAAGGTCTGCTTTGGTCTGCATCTTTAAAGAACAAATATGTAAAAATCTGTGGGCGACTCCAAGACTTGGAGACTTCAAGAATCTGTAGGTCGTGAGAAAAGTGTCACCCTGAAATCGGTCGCCTATATATTGACAGTCAAACCACCATGGCCCGCCGGATTTCAAGAAAATATTATATACATATAGAATATATAACCATGCATTAATGCATGTATACACATGTATTTAGACCCTCGTCTGTCAGCAATTGTTTCCAAGCATTCGCAACATCAACCTGAGTTTAAGCTTCAACCTGAAGAGAAACAGGTTGCTTTCTTGATGGTAAGGTGTTGGGAATGGGTCACAGCAAGTTCTACGACCAAATTCAGTTCAACGGCTTTGGAGTGTCTGTTGCGCGCACACCAAGTGGAAGAGCACTTGACACAAACTGATCATTCACTGTGATGATATAAGACTTGCCTCACCCTCTCGACTTTCACCTTAGACTGTCCCATTCTTGGATTTGCTTAAGGAACCTATATATGGCAAAAGATATTCACCAGGTTTGGGGATGTAGCCAGTCCGTGAAAACCTCACCTGACACGCAAAACCATGTGCAATTGTGCTGCGGTTCATTTCGCTCGACCCTGCAGAGAGACCCCGCGCCTTTTCTTCCAAACAAACCAAGGCCTGGGAAGAAGCGGGAATGGTTCGATCTCTTAGGCGTCAAGGATTTTCAAGGTACCTCTGTTTGGGACCATGTTGGAACTTGCTCCCTGCTCCCGGTTCCCTGCTCAGCTGAGGCAGGTAGATCAGTAGATCGGTTCTCGACTCAAACCTTCAAGAAGTCACACAGGTGGAAAAAGCACCAAGCAAGTTCTAAGCCTGCTTTCTCAAGCATCCGTCTCAAGATCAAGCGACTCAAGTTCCGGAAACGATGCGCAGTTCGAATGAACCCGACTCGTCTTCCACGGCGCGTGCGAGATATTCTCGCCATCTTCATGGCTGTGGATGGCAAAAACAAATTGTTTATTCCCACTGAAATGTAGACAGGAAACCGTGCCACGGTCATCTATTTGGGGAAAACGAAACCAGTTGAATCGAAACCACAAAAAGGCATCCGCCGACCTCGTAGGCAGAGGCGCGACGCACCATGAGTTCGATCAAAGCCACACCGCGCCACTCCTGCGGAGGAGATGTTCATGGTGCGGTGATGCCGCTTTTTTCTGTGGAAAAACACATCTGCTGCACTATTTCTTCCAAAGTTGTAGCTCAAGTCCACAAAGGTTAGATCAGTTTAGACTAGGTATCCAATTGGCAAGAACATGAATTACGATACTGTATGTAGGAGTCTGTTTTTAAATGTCTTGCTGGATTAGATCGGGGCAGCTCCACCGAAACAACCAACATCTTTCGTAAAATTAGAGGACATTGGTCTTCCAGGGGGGCCTGTGTCATCATTCTCCAAACCCAAAACCAGCAAATCATATCATTAAATGTAAGTTCCAAGAGAGGTGAAGTGACCGTAAATCGGACTCTACTGGGGTACCGAACTGGCATAGTCTAGTAGAAAAGGGTCCTTCAACCGGGCTTCAGCGATGTCACTTCCAGTTCCTGCACCAGAAAGTAGAAGCTCCCGATGTCACTCGTGGCCACTGCGTCCAACAAGTCCTCGATGGTCGTGGCTCGCTTGATCCTCCAGGGGCCAACAAAGGAAACGGGAGAGAAGGGGAGCAACGTGGTATGCCAGGAGCTACGTTCGTAGCTTCTTGCTCCGTTCGTAGCGATGCCCTTCCTACTACTAGCTTCTTGCCACTAGTAGTTATGCCAGGAGCTACGTTCGTAGCTTCTTGCTCCGTTCGTAGCGATGCCCTTTGTTACTAGTAGCTTCTTGTTACTAGTAGTAATGCCAGGAGCTACTACTGGTAATTAAGTAGTAAGTAGTAAGCCCATGTAAGCCCTTCTTACTACTAGCTTCTTGCCACTAGTAGCGATGGCCTCAAACCTACTTGCGATGGCCTCCACCTAATAACGTCCTAATAGGTATATTAAATTGTATACACCCGGATCAAGCAATAAAACAAATCTCGAGTGCAGTCGCTCAAGCATCTCCCCTACCCTTCCCTCATCTGTCTGTACCACTAAGTGTTCTCCCCTCCACCCAAAAATGAGGCAATCCCCCAAAAGTAAAGCCATTGTTCTGTAGCGTCCTTACTCCTTTAGTAGCGATGCCAGGAGCCCCTAGTAGCTTCTTGTTCCTAGTAGCAAGGCCAGGAGCCCGTAGTAGCGTCCGATCGCTCCGTTCGTAGCGATGCCCTGTGTTACTACTAGCTTCAGAAGCCATCCTGAAGAAGGACACCACTTTCGAGCCAGCTGCCAGTTGACACCAAACTGCCCCAGCAGCGAACACATCCACCTCAGCTTCGACCCGAGTTCGAACATCGCACCGGTCGCGCCTCGCGTGGCACCGGTGTATCTGATGGGTCGATCGGCTGAGAGAAATGGTTGCAACTTGCAGAACACTATAAATATATATTATATATAGTGGTCCCCAGATAGATAGAAACAGATTCCAATAAATTTTTAGTGGGGATCTACTTTTCTATCTATTTGCGGGTTTGTAGGCTCTATCCAATAGGATAGTGTCCACCTGGCTGTTACATTATCTGTAATATTTTAGGTCAGGTTTATCCCATTACCAGTAACAGTGGAGGACGGTACTTTAGGTTGCAGGCCTTGTTCAAAAATAGTTGTATATGATTCTTAGTAAATATGGGACAAACCCAATATATATATATATATAGAGTACAATCCACCAACTGGTGGAAAAACGGAGAACGAGCTACCAACCGCCATAACAGAACATTGGGGAGCCTTCGGTTCCAAACCATCTAGGTACCTGGCGAAGTATATACCTCTTAGGAGGATGCATCTCAACACAGGCCTTGAGGACAAATGGACTGAAACAAACACTAACTTCATGTGGGTGTGCATTAATATAGGGAGGCCTCCAAAGACCCCCCCCAGACGAGGAGAAATAGACCAAACCCCACTGGTTGGGGATTGCCAAAGCCTTCAACAGGTCACCCATTTCGCCAGAAATGAAAAGAAACAACCCATCCTTTGATCCTTTACCCCCCAAAATGCCCGTGTCATGTCTGACGAACCCAAACGACCCAGAAAAGATGCCTCGAAAACCCACCCGCAAACATCCGCAACTGCCAGAAAACTATCAAGAACACAACCCCACCAAAGTCAAACCCCACCCTAACTCCAACACACTTGGCCCTGTCCGCCTCTTCAGGCTGCAACTCCAGATTGGGCTGCTCCAGATATCGCCATCGTGTGGGGCCAACGACCGAGGTCACTGGGCCGCGATTCTTCAGATCTCTGCGGAAGAAGGTGTGGTGCATGCCTCATCGCGTCGGGGGTCTTGGTGCCTGGTCTCTTGGTACCCTTGGTGCACCGCACCACGTGCTGGTGATATATATATATATATATAATTTTATATCATGTGATATATATATATAAAGAGTAGTGCGCACCTCCTTTTCTGTTCGCTCTGCAGCACATTTG